CAAGTTATTCTGAATTTGCGATAAATGATGCCATGGTAGTTTTTAACTCTCTTTAAAATACAGAACGATCTTTCACTAGTTGCATTCGATGGAATAATGGTTAAAAACATTTTCAGAGCAGCGTCTAAATTTGGAAACGTTGCAATCATTTTCTTTTCTCTTAAAATATAATTAAGTATAATTTTGAAAAACATGCTGGGAGATTTTTTATCTGACTCTTCTATTTCAAGCTCTTAAAAATTGTTTGAAATGTAAACATTTCTCATATAACAAAACTATAATGGCAAAACATTAAAAAAATGATCAAGCTTTTAAATTTTTCCCATTAAATCATTATGTTTATCGTCTTTTTCTTTTTGTAATTTTCTCGTTTGTGCACCACTTAATTTACTATTTACTATTCGACATTGCGAATGCAAAATGAAAAAAAAAATTATTTTTGAAGAATTAAACACATAACTAGTCAACAGACTACAGAGCAATGAGCATAACCAGTGTTGAAATATTATAAAAACGTAACAATATAATGTACAGGTTTATCACCCATTTGACATTTACTTATCGAATGTTCGTATGATATTCGGAAAATTCCGGGCTATTTTTATATTTTTACAACAGCGAACATTTAATTTACAAAAATAAACATTATTATACTATATATGTTCAACAATATAAATTCTAGTAGTTGGTAAATTAAATTCGCAGATAGGAATTATATCTAAAAAGAAAAAAATCAAAAGTTTGCCGAGTCCTAAATCCGGCCTTGTGTGTATAGTTTATACTCAATATTTAAAAATCGAAAAACATCGACGCTATAAAATGCCAAATGCCTTAGGTAGATTAATATATTAGAGATTAAATGTTTAGAAATAATAAAATAATTACAATTTTGTAGTTTTTCTTTTTGGAGATACTTTTGTTTATGTTATTGTATACAATTAGAAAATATTCAAATAATGCTCATAAAATTGAACATACTCGATAGACAATAATGGATAACCTAACCTTTTGATAAGGGATAACCGTTAGCTTGTAGCCAGGTGCAAGGCATAGACAACATAGGTTATTGCGTTATTATTGCCTAATGCCTAGAGCAACATTTTAAACAGACGGCGATTTTTTACAAATTTACATTTTTTTTTAATCTTTTATTGAAATATACAACTTTTCAATTTACAACCCATGAATTACATGCAAATTGAAAGGCGACAAACTTGTAGTTTACCTAGGTTGAAATATTATGTATTGAAAGTAGCAACCAATGGCGTCAGGAGGCGGCAGGCCGTTAGGTGTGCCAAAGATAATAGACTGTAGAAAAATCCAAATAAAAACATTTAAAATGAACACTGTAACATCGATGCAAAACATCGACACTGTGAAATCGATGATTTTAGAGCAAAACATAGATTTTTCCGAAACATAGAAATGTTGATGCCACTCCTATTTATAGTTTACTTATTTGCAAGGTCAGTGCAGTGGTATTTTCGAACGCCTAACACATAAAACTAATGAGATCAAGGTGGTTAAAACAATTAATGTAGGATGTTAGAATCGACAAAATATTTATGTTTACATGAGACACATTTATATAATAATTATTTTGGTAGTCGGTTGGCCGCCTCATGAGCCATGGCATAAAAAAGACAGGCTTTAAAAGCTTTTTGAAGACAAATTTGAGCGTGGATTAAATTTTGTGAAACGTTCATAAAAAATGGCGAGCGTTTTTATTTGCGTTATCAGACACAGAGCCATTTAAAGTTTTTAGAATCCCGTATCAAAGGCACCAACCGAAATAAGTCTTTTCAACAATAACGTTTATTTGGCACTCTACCGTGTACAAAAATCAAAGCAATTTATAAAAATAAACTTGGTCTATACAATTATTCTTAATGGATACTGTACGCGAGGACTGATCATTCTATATATAACAAAACATACCTATCAAATCAATATTCCAATAGAATAATGAAGTAGGTCAAAAACACGTGTAGTGCGATTGTACAGGGTAGGGCGGAGCCGACTGACGATTTTTGAAGGCCTATGAATAACGAACAGTAAAACTTAGAGAAAAACGGTTTGTTTTATTAAAATCATTAACAAATCCCGTTTTTTTAAGTACAGTTTTGAAAATTATATCACCAAGATGGCGGCCGTCATTAGCAATATATTGTTGTAAGCGATTTCCGAAGTTTTCGTGTGATCTTCGGCACGTTTCGATGGGTGTGGCCGTGATTTCTTTCGGTGATTCTCTCCTACAGGTCTTCTATGGTATAGGGATGATGTTTGAAAACCTTATCCTTAGCCCCAAAGGAAAAAGTCGCACATAATCAAATTAGGGGAGCGTGCTGGCCAGCCCACGTCACCCTTTTGAGATACCAACCGTCCAGGGAACATTTGTCGAAAAAAACTACCAAATTTCGAGTTGTATGCGCTGTAGCCCCATTTAGGCGAAACCATACATACCTCCAGTCATATTCTTCGCCCATTTCTTCCAACCTGTGCTGCAGTTAAGTTTCCAACATCAGAACATATCGCGCCGAAGTGACAGTGACAGTCATGTTGTCCTCCTCAAAAAGTACCTGCCGATCACCCCAAATTGGGACACGGCACACCACATTGTCACTTTAGTGGAGTAGAATGGTCTTTCGAGGAGTTTCCGTGGGTTATTTTCAGCCCAGTAGCGAAAATTCTGTTTATTGGCAGATCCAGAGATCGATGAGTAAACTTAAAAAAATCGACTACAGCAATGTATTGCTGCTGACGGCCGCCATCTTGGAGATATAATTTTCAAAACATAACTTCAAAAACGGGATTTCACACTGATTTTAATAAAACAAACTGCTTTTTCTAAGTTTTACTAATCGTTATTTATAGCCCCTCAAATCTCGTCAGTCGGCTCCGCCCCACCTTGTATTTATGAGGCTAAATAGTTAGTTCTGCGTTTTAATTACGAATGGTATTTATGATGTTAATTTTACAATTAACCATTTCAGATCGTTCGATCGAGCTTTTAAATTATATATTCTATCAATCCAAAAACTTTTAAAATTATAATTATGTAAAGATTTAAAAAGTAATCTCCCTTCACTTTAAGACCAGAAACTCGCCTCATCTTCTCCTTAATTTAAAGAGATTTTTAAAAAACTAAATATATCAATCTACATTTCAATCTCAAAATAAAAAAAAAATAATTTCTTTAAAATATTTTTATGAACACTCGTTAAAATGATAGACAAACCCCAGAAAGAACCTTACTCGCCTAATCTCTGCTTTCCAAAAGATTTTACTTTTATTATTTTATATTATGAACGTGGTTAACTTAAACTCTAAAAATGTATTGAAGGGAATCAAATGTATCTATATTATATTTAAAAAAATTGTAGAAGCGTAAATTTTTTTATAATGAGGAAACCCCATAAAAACATAATTTGATCTCTAATTCTATTAAAAAATTTGAATATTTCTACAACATGTAGTTGATAGTACACTTAATAAATTGTTAGGTTAGAAGTTTATTATTACACAACTTTTTAGTAATCAACCGCTTGCAACTACAGGGTTACAAAAAAGTGATTTTTATACATTTTTACTGTATTCTGTAAAATGTATCACTAAGTAATGTTTGTGGTTTATTTACTTACGTTAGTGGACTTTATCTTATTTCAAATACCATAATCATATATTTCTAATAAATACATTTAATTGATTTAATATTTTTTAAGGAAAATGGTTTATTATGAACTGAGAATGTTAATCGACTATAAACGCCGCGAACGCGAGAAATACGTTAAATTATGTTAATAGATAGTTAATAAAAATGTAATAAATACAATACTGGATTTGTTATACACAATTATAAAATTCACTGTACTTAATCTGCTTATTATTAAGATGTTTATACCTTTAAAAGCCGGAGTCTTCTTAATTTATTTATCCTTTGGGTCGAAGCGAAATGAGACTAAATCTACACTTAACATTTTCTTTCTTAGTAATGTTTTTGTCTTGAAACAATTTTTAGTAGTTTTCATAAAAAAATGGCTCATCTCGCTACTGGACACTGCGAAGACCACCACTACATTTACCACCACTACAAAACAGCGGTGTATTTAAAACGTTATTTTTAACATAGCCATTTTGGCCCCGGTTCTTGTTTTTTGCAACGCTATTTTCGTACAACACAACCACAGAATACAACAACCGAGATTGTTTATTACAATTTTATAGGAATTTATGAAATACAGCAGGAATAACAAAAGCAATGGAAAATTATCATACAGTTCAATTTTTAATTAATAATATACTTCTCAATAACCTTATATCTTTTATTTTAGGCTACACAAGAATCTAATTTACTAGTAATCAAGTCATATTTGAATGTTTAAATTTAAAAATTAATTTTTGAAATATATATATTATCATTGCAATAATTTTACTTTTTAATTATCAAAATAATATTATTATTGATATCATAAAATTTCATAAATTGTTCAGGTATAATGTTAAAATGTTCAGGTAAAACTATTTAAGCTGTTTTGTTATTTCTATAAATAGGTGTATATTATAATCCTTAAGATACCAACAATTTAAAACTTAGCAAAGATTGATTTTCGGTTAATATACATGTTGAGAGGAGGGGGAAAAGGACATTTTATTTTTAGACATCAAATCAAACGATTTTGTCATATCAGGGAAATTTATTTTAAAATATTAGCTTCCACATAAGTAACAGCTATAGCATGAATGAAAGCATCCCATGTTGCATAATACCAATTTAAAAACATATCTGAATAATTTCACCAAGATTGGCAAAATGAGACATTAATTTCTGTTATTTTACCACAGAACTTATGTCACTAAAAACTATAAAAGTTAAAAATACGTACAATATATCACTTATGTGATTATGTCTATTAACGAAAGTAGGAGGGTGCCTTCGACTTCACCAACTCATTCAAGCCCTCTTTAAATTGTAGGTAATTAAATAATTTTGATCAACTCACTGTTCTTCCTGTTTTGATCTGTTATATATTTTATTGAATTCTTCATCCACTTTTGAACCAGGTGATAAATCCGGCATATCCATTTGTAAATAGTTTCTCTCTTTTAACACATTACTAAATGATACCTGTAAACAATTTGTTTAAGTTATGATAGTCAAACTTACTAAAAACCCGTAAAATGTACTTTTTTCTTTGAAACAACTTCAGACTTGGAAGAAGAAACAAAAAGTTCAGGCGTTTTTGAGTAAAACGCAACACTCGCAGGTCTCACGGGACTAGGGGTATGCCTGACGGTCAAATCCTCCAACGAACATTTTTCAAGTTTCTTCCAAAAATGTCTACAATCGTTATTTGAGTTGTTTGTAGAAGATTCTGTACGTAGTTTCCAAAATTGAGGTGAATTTGATCTGCTTCTAAGGCGAACTGGCTCAGAATCCTTTTGGAACGAATTTCTGCGGGGCCTGAAATTTGAAAAATCCGTGCAAGCATTTTGACTTTCGAATGGTCCATGTGGTTCTGAACGGCTATTAGTATCTATGTGAGCAATGTGTTTTGGCGGTTCTCCGACATTAATTGACGAATTCGAGTTCTCGGTGAAATTGTTTAGTTCTGTGTTTCCATTTTGTAAATTATATTGAAATTCAGGTAGCGTACAGGGTTTTGAAATGCTTTGAAATGTACTTTGTTTTGGAAAAGTAAAGTTTTTTAGAGCTTTACAACTCGACGATCTCTTGGGAGGCACAACATTTCCCCCCCGACGTTTCAATACTAGTAGCTCGATACATGTACTAGGTCTTCGCAAAAATGCAATAGCTTGCGATTCGGTAAGAGAGTAGCAGTCTATGCCATCAATTTCAAGCACGCGGTCATCCACATTCAAGTAATTTGCAGCTAATGTCTCATCTTGTACCTGGAACCAATTAGTCTGTTTAACTCATTGTTAGTTAGTATTCGGGTCAAATATTCTAAAGATTAAGTGCTTAAGTGTATGCATTGTTATGTGTAGTTGGATTTTAAAATTGAATACACCACAAAGGCGATTTAAATGTTTGGCGCAATTGTGGATGAGAAGAAAACAGAGCCAAATTAGCCATTGTCTCATTTTTAATAACTAAAATAATTTTGTGGTAAAATAATTATTTGAAAATGTAAAATGAAATTTAGCTTCTGTAGTTTAGAAGTTCAAACAATAACCAGGAGTTATTCGTGAAAAAACCCTCTATTTAAAGGATCAAAAAAATGAAAACAATTTAAAAAAAATAAGAGTCTTATATCAAAAAAAGTTATATATATAACTAAGGACTAAACTATACATAGGATATTGTTAAGGTTATAGGATATTGGTACCTCGCAGTCCGCATTAAACAAATTGTCAATTATACAATAGGTACCTATCGGTTTGAGTGTATACTGTATACTTACGTGTCTTACAGTCAGCGGTCGCCAACTGTCCCGTCCTCCACATACTTGAAAACCCCACGACGTGTAGGGGTCGTTCTTCTTAAATACAATGTTCAGCAACTGTGCCATCAATGTTGATTATGTTGCACCGAAAATTTGTAAGTGTAATGAAGCTGCTGGCATTTGACTAAGTGTCCCAGTTTTGTATGCCAACGTGAACACTGCGAATAGCATTCTTAATTAAATAGTTGACAATTGACCGGACACATTTATACTAAGACTTTAGAGTTTAGACCCATGATACAATTGCCTTTAGAATTATTCAAAATTAACATACCTTTTTTAAGTATGAATTTTTTTAGATAACCATGTTTTTGGTACATGGTCAATATGGTAGCCAGTACATATTGTACAATATGCTAGAACTCGTTATCTATCCTTTTAATTTGGTATATTATTGAGTAGTACACCAGTGGCGTAATTTGGTCATGATTGTGGGGGGGGGGGAGGGGGATAAAAAAAATTGCATACATTTTACTCATCACCCCCTCCTTCCCCCAATTTTTTTTGTATGTATACCATTGTCATATATATAACATCACTCGAACGACACTCAAATCCCCCCCCCCGTTATTACGCCACTGTAGTACACAAATACCTAACCAGCGTACAAGAATCAAACCTAATAATACCTATCAGGTAGACGTAGGTATACTTTGATCTATTAGCTAAGTTTTTTTAACTATACTCAATGATTTAGCCATAAAATCCTAAAATAATTTTAATAATTAATAATTAATTTTAGTATGAAAGCTAAAAATAAATAACACTAATCATTGCAAATATATATATTATATAAGTTTTTAAATGGTGTTCAGATGTATATACCAGTAGCCATAACATATCATTATAATGAAATAAAATTGATTTTGGGTTAAAAAATATTGATTGTGCTGAATAGTGATAAAGTAGAATAGTTACAGGCATTTTATTGTTGCATTTATAATGGTTGGTTCAAATACATAACGTAATATAAATGGACTTAAACACATAACGTTACATAACGTAACTATTTATTCGGATACGAAGCTTTAAGTCCATTTATATTACGTTATGTATTTGAACCAACCATTATAAATGCAACAATAAAATGCCTGTAACTATATATATATATATATATATATATAAAGAAGAAGACCTGACTGACTGATTCATAATCAACGCACACCTATACTATGATTTAGCTAGTGACTTTAAATGGTCAGGGTATGTTTATATTATAGTACAGGCGTGCAATAAGAAAGGATTTTGAATAATTTTTATTTTAAATGTTGAAATGGGCAAAAAACAAAATGTAAGTAGCTGAATGACCTTTATGCATTAGTACATCATTCATCAGATCGCCATGAAACATTGGGAAGTTGTAGAGTACACTCCCGCGAAGGTTTCTGGCATAGTACTTTTTGAAAATTCCACCCCTAAGGGTGTCCTTAAGCACGAATTTTGTACTTTAAATAAGAAATATTTTTCCTTGCTAAGCCAAAATAAACACTTGGTTTGTAACTATGGTAATTACGGTACTCGAGCGAATGGCAGGTGATGATTAAAGGATTCTAGTATGTACCACTATTAAACGTTTTCACTTATTGGAACCGGATCTGGGACCTTTGAGTAAGAGGGGGGCATAATCAATATATTGTTATCTACAATATGTAGATAAAAAAAAGAAACCTAGTTGAGGTATGTCTGGGAGCCTGGAGAACTGTTTTTTTTTTTATCTTATTTATAATTATTTTACTCAGCCCTGGCAACGCCGTGTCGGGACAGCTTGTAGGTATATAAAATAAAATATTGTTAAGAGATACTGGATTAGGATAGCAGTTATTTAAAAAAAAAACATTTACCCTTTTTAATATTACATACGTATACAAAAAAACTATTTAAATTAGATAGGTTACATAAAAGATAATAACTAGTTTCTGTGTTTTTTCAATAATAACAAGTCATTTGGATTTTTTAAGTTATTCTTCTTATAATTACCTACTTCTTTACCAAGTTAATGGGCTTCAATATCTGCGTATTTTTTGGTAGGAAAAACTCATTCTAACTTTAGCCGTGCTCTAAAGCATGTAATTCGGCTATAGTTTAGAAAACTAATATAAATTTTTCAATGCTTGCTTGATGTATCGAACGAAGTACATTTTTAATTTTAATTTTTCAATACTATTGTAAAATCAATATAAAATTCAAATTTAAATCTGAGTATTTTAAGGAACGTACTGCTAGAAGTAGAAACATATGTTATTATGTCGTATAAAATTAGGGCTTGTATACATTATAAAAGTAAAAAAAACAGGCACATTTTCCTATATTAATATACTACTACAAATTTTAGCATAATGTTAATTTTTAGTAAAAAATTGCCTATACAATGATCTTAATAACTGTTAGTGTAAAAGCCCCTTAAAAAATAATACTAGAGTAAAAATTAAAAATAATATTGCCACCAAGTTAAAAAGTTAATAAGTCTAAAACTGGGTAGATTATTTTTTTTTATAATAATGCATCACAGCCTACTCAAATTGAACTTCTCATTAACTGAGCAATTGATTATACAATAGTTATGACAGAGATCCAATGTTTACATTTTATTATATTTTGTATATTTATTCTATACTCTATTCAGAATAAGAACAGGCTTCAGCGGCCGACCAGTTTTCATCAGGCGGCGGTCAGGCACCGCCCATTTTACATTTTATCTGTAGCCCCACCGGCCGCAGTGTTTGAGTTCCGTTGCTCGTAGTGAAGCCACGACCATGCGCACAAGTCGGCCGCCGAAGCCTGTTCTTATTCTGAATAGAGTATAGGTAGCAAAATATAGACATTCTTAGAAATGGATGTTTGGATCTCTGCCAATAATAATAAAATTTAACTTTTTCTATTAATTAATCAGTCATTGGAAAATAACACTGTCTAGTATGATTATTACTATTTATTTATACAAGGAAAAAAATATTAAATACATTTCACAGTACATGCACTTGAGTTTATTTCATAAAAATAAAAATATTATATTTTTATCTATAGTTATACAAAGCACAATAAAATTAACTATAAAATATAACAGATCTCTACAGATTTAAAATTAACATAATTATCAATTAAATTAATATTTATTATGGTATTAAAATATTTTAAGTTCTAAATTTAATTTTTTTAAATATAATATGTAAGAGTAATATTTTCTAATTATAGATATTAAACACTATTTGAGCCTTTCATTACATTTAAAATTATTACTTTCATTTTGCTGGGTTCATTAAAGATTAATTTACGCGATACTCTGTTCAGAATAAGAACAGAGTATGCATTACTGAACAATTTATTTTAATAATAATCAGATTTAGTTATTTACAATTAAAAATTATTATTATGTTTAAGACTTAGTGTGATAACTATAATGTTTAAGAATTATGTTATACATTTATAAGTCTCTATTTAAAATAAATCTGTTACCCTCTGAATGTTTTCCAGCATAACGAAAACGACGACGTCCATATGCAGCTGATAAAAAATAATTTAAAACACATTTTAATTACTAAAACAAAAATATGTAACTTGAAAATACCTTGATGATGAATTTGATGTGTCATAGACTCTTCTGCTGGCAAGAAAATATTTGATGTATCTGCAAGTGGATGAGTAACATTGGATAATTTCCAATCATATTGAAGTGGTTCATTTTCATATCGCTAAATAATCATAAAAAATGTATATTACAATTTATTAGTTCATTAGGGTTAGTTAGTATGAAACATACTGGTCGTATGACTTTAGTGAATTCTCCTTTTTCTAATGCTGTGCTAAGTTCTTCATTAGTAACTGGTCTTGAGTCAAGAAATTTTAACTCTGGCAAATAATACAACACAAAATATCTAAAATAAAAAAATTTGACAATTTTTATTAAGATTTAGCTAAGTGGTGTCTCGCCAATCTAATCACCCTTGTATGTACATCTGGTTAATTTGGACTAAGATGATGTTTTTTTTATCCTAAATCAATTTTTAAGTTTTAAAATAGACCAACAATACAGTGTTGAGACTAAAAAAGGAAGTTTTACGATAAAAAATTCATTTTAGTAATTTTACCCATCTAAAACTTGTTTCTAAACATTTCAAAGCCCATTAGGTTTTATCTGGACTTAGGTGATCCGAGCGGGGTCTAGTTCCATTAGTTACAGGTTAGCGAGACTACACTGCATTACCAATATTATTATATATAGTTTTCTAAAATGTATTAATTTCACCTGTATCGCCTATAATCATCTTCGTCTTTTTCAAAATCAATTAGTTGCGTTGGACATGCCTTATTTCCAAGTAAACTGAGGAATCTCAAAGAAGGCATACTGTATTTGATTTGGTTAATTAAATTTTCAAGTATTGTTATCTAAACACCAAATATGTTTAAAAATTATTTTAATAATCCAAAATATATATAGTTATATTACTTTGTTATTGTTTAGTGATAAAGTGTGTAAATTAGGTAAATGAGGTAAAATTATTTTGTCATCTAAATGATTATTATCCAATATCAACTCTTCTAATTCCGAGAAATGTTCTGAATGGTTCAATGTTGTCAGGTTATTAAAACTTAAATCTAAAGATCGTACTTTTGATCCATACATTTTTCCAAGTACTTCTGGAATACATGTTACATCTTGGCCAATATAACAAAGCTGAAAAGAAACTATTATTAATACTTATCACTTTAAGCAACACAATATGTTAATATTAAATTCTAGAACATTTTCCCTCTACTTTTTAACATTTTTTTATCCACCTGTAAATTATATTATTTTACCTGATTTTTGGATACTTTAGAATCTTTGCAAAACTCATTATTAATAGTATAATAAAGATGTGAATATTGACATGACATAATTTTGCAATTAGTTTCATTGTAACCATCGCCACCTGATTATTATAGTTGATAAAAATAAATGTCACTATTTTTTAAAATTTGTATAGCTTATTTAAATATTACTACTTGTTAGAATTCTAGTAGTATTATTTTCTGTTGTAACAGTCAATGAGTATGAAAATTTACACTGCCGTGGGGCAAAGAAATTGAATTTAAGAAAGTTCATCTTGAAACTGTGTTGACATATGAAATACATAGTATTTGATGTTTGCAATTCAATGGACTGCAAACTAAATAGGGTTTCTTGATTTTATATTGAATGTGTGTATGAAGCCTCCCAAGTGTAAAGCAATTATTGTGAGTAATAGGATAAGTTATTACGTATATACAAGAGAATTCATGAAATATTTAGTAGAAATTATTTCTGAAGGCCAAAGGTGCTATTAATAGGAGCACACACTCCCAAAATGTCTAAAGCACCCCCAATAAGGTAAAAATTAAATAGTTTTTGTATATTTTATATCTAATACTTATGTGTAGGTTGGGTTATGTATACATACATATTATGATTTCATAATAATTATTAGTATAAGTCAGATAATTTACATGAAGGCAAGGTGAACAATTTTCCAAATCTTTTTAGATATTTACATTATTTACATACTTGAAAAGTAAGTTTTTTGTTGATAAAAACATGTTTAGACTTCAATAGACTATGTAATAAATGCAATCATTAATAACATCTTTATTTTAACTAAACGTAATATCTCAACAATAAAAATTAATAAACTTTTAAGTAATTGTATTATGCATAACTATAAATTTAAAAAATAATTTCTCAGTAATTTATTTCTTCGATATCATAATAAGGGGTTATAATATCTGAATATAGGCTAGTTGAGAACCGGCTACAAGTTATTTGAACAAATAAGTGTTTTTTTTCCTGGCTGATAATTGTAACCATACTGTGACAGTCAATGTACATTTCACAAAACGCTCCAGTGCGTTGATCAATTTGTATTAATTATTATTTACTAATTATATATATAAAATAAGGTATTTGATTACTTGATAGTTTTACGTTCCTACAACACTATGTTTTCTTTAATTTTAGTTTTATCAAATTGAATGAGGAATGCTTTGTTCTCAGCTTATTGATTTTGGAAACCAATAAGATTGCCAGTAGTAGGACCCAATAAGTATAAGTTAAATACATATTTTTAAAGGCTTTTGTTATTACAACAACTTACTCGATTATTTTGAAAATTAATCTTTTTGGCATCTTCAAAATTCTCTTGCTCCATTATGAAATAGATTATGTACAGTATGTAATTTTAGTATCAATTATGTAATTTCTTTCAAATCAATCTAAACAATAAAAGTTATATTATACATAATACATATAATAATATTTTTTTTTAAGATACTACTATAATATATGTTTTTTTATAAATACCAACAACTATAATAACTAAGGACGCATGACTGATACTAGTTAACTACATATTCTGGAAGTCCTGTAAATTCTTAATATTTAATTCCATTGAGTTGACGGTATATTAAATTATAATTTATATTGTTGATCATTGTATCCTGATAATTCCAAACAGCCAACTAATATTGATAACATCAACACGGGTCACAAAGAACAATTTTGTTATCTTATCACAGTCCAGAGCATGGTTTAATATTCCATTAATTACTGCCATGGGGTTTTACTCTACGTTTACTACATTTTTAAGACGTTATACCCCCTATTTATTAAGGAGTTAGGTATAGGCAATTTTTTGCAATAATCTTATTTTAAGTGTTAAACTGTGATGTGCAATTGTTATATTAAATCAGTAGTTATGACTCTTTTTTTGGTAGTTATTAATTTCTCGGATTATCACAGCATCTTAGACAGCCATTTAAAAAAAAAATTCTTTTAAATATAGCTATACGCTGAATGAGTTTTATTCTGTCCTTAGTATATATAGATTTAGAGCAGAAAATCTAATATAAAATAGCAAGATAATAAAATTTCGGAGACAATGCCATATTCTATTTTGAAAACAATAACGTAAAAAGTTATATGACATTATCTCCAGAATCTTGTCATCTTCTTTTTTTGTACATAAGTATTTTTGCTCTAAAATTATTTCAGGGCGAGTAAACCGCATTCTGTGTAGGTATGTTTAAATGCTAGAAAATTGGGTGTTTATCTTCCTCTTAAACAGAAACATACTAACGTTTCGTTTCTTTATCTTTTTATATTATTAAGATACAAATATTTATATTCTAATAGTATGATACTACTTTTTAATAAATTTAAGATATTTTATTTATAATACCAACATATTATTATTGCTTATCAAAAATATTTTATGATTTAAGTTTTAGCACATAATGTTTCCTTAACTCGTTTACCAAATTAGTAACTTAAGGAAAAAAAAATATGATTTTACCATATTCAAATTCCTTACATCCTTAAAATACAACAAATTTTAATAACTTTTAGGTTTTAAGTTAATAAAAAAATTTACTAAAAAAATGATATAAAAATACTATTTAATATTACTTAGGAATTTAAAATATTTACAATTTCAATAGCACTAAACATTTATAATCCAAATGTTCTATATTATTTATGCTACAAAATACCATTATAAAATATATGAAACATTCTTATCATAATTTATTAATTAATAATATACATACTATTATCTTACTGTTGTTTTTATATACTAATTTTTTACATAAATGTTAAATAACCTTGTACATTTTTTATACAACATTTTGAGACATTGGCATACAATTTATAAATTGATAACAAGTTTGTTTTTAATGTAAGTAAAAATTAAAAGCAAAATTGGATTAACCATTAGATGATTTCATAATTGGTGCAAACAAAACTGTAGACAAAGAAGGAAAAGTGAAAATAAATTAAAATATGTAAACAGATAAATATTATTACAATATAATGAAAAAACACTAAGTTATGCCTTTCAAATAAATTAGAGTATTAATTATAGATTATACTCACTTAACAGTAATTTTTAGCTAACACTAACTACATAATATTACGGGTACAAATTTTTCCATTACCTATCCTAGTCAAAATGATTTGTAAAACATTAAAAATATAGAATGTCATTTATATCTGATTATAATTCTATAAAAAATTATTGATTTAATTGTTTTTCTGATATTAGTCCATAAATCTGATCACACGCCAGATGTTTGGTTTTAGTATAAAAGTCATCAACTTCTTTTTTAAATGTATCTAGGAACGATTGCCCATCAGGGACAGTGAACAGGGCTCTAAATTTATTAAATACCATATTGGCCTTACGTCGAACTTTAGCGGTTTTTTCTGACATTTCATTTGCTTCCTCATCATTAGTTTCCCATTCTTTACGGTTACCAATATACATAGTTACTTTTTTTACAGTATCAACAACTTCAGAATGTTTTTTCAACATCAAAGTATTAATTTTTAATTCAGCCATTTGATCTAATATCTTTATGGCTTTGTCACAATCTGCCTTATCAGTACGCAAAGCCATTCGTAGATGATATACACAATCTAATAAGTCGACTTCAGTGGTTAAACATTCAACTTTTACTGCTTTACTAGTAGTCACTTTTGACCACTCAACGTCTAAATGATCTATTGCGCCTTTCATAAGATTTTTTAAATTTGCTGGAAGCTCATCGTCTTGATTAATTTTTTTGCTTATTTGTTTCATTTCTTTAGACACACTGTCATTGATTATAGGTGTAGTGCTATGACTCTTCGTTTTGTTCACCAATTCTGAGCTTGAACCTAAAAATTGAATTGTACTATGTTAATTAGGCGTACAAAAATATAAATAATACAACTAAAAATAAATTAAATAAATATTCACCTTTCACCATTTCATTTTGTTCTGATGAATTATCAGCATCAACACTTCCATTGATCTTTTCAGAGTTCTTAGACATATCTTTGCTTAGTCTAGAACGTTTTGGTACTTCAGCATCATTCTCATAATCAGTATATTTCTTTGGTTTGATTTTACGGCCCGAGCGTGACACTTGTCCAATGTTTGAGCTATTTGAAGACATATCCCCACTAGAAATTGGGCTACTTTTAATTTTAGAATTATGTTTTGACGATTTATTATTATCAAAGGAAACTTCACTAGTTTCTAAAACAGAATCTGACACATTTTGAGGTTCGGATTGTAATTCATTGGTTTCACAAGTTTTTCCTTCAGAAACAGAGTTCTGAAATTATAAATATACAAAATTAAAATTTTTTAAAATGACAAATTAAATTTATTAATTAATTTTAAACAAATTATGCTATATATTTATTATAGTTAAACCAAGGCTAATTTAGCCAATGTTAATAATATTATAAGTGAACAAGAAATAAACAAAGCATAAACATTATAATGCAAAAAACTAAAATTAAATAGATGTAATAATAATATAATTTTGTTTAGTTTTAAATGTACATAATTTCATGATAAAACATGCATGCCATGCAATAAAAAAAAAATTATGTCTTTAATAATTCTAACTAAGACTAAGACCGAAACTAATAGTTAGCTTATTTAAAAGCAAGTTCTAAAATTAAAATTAAATTACATTATTACTTATTAGCATGGAACATCCTTTAACCTTGGCCTCCCAGCTCGAAAACGACACAAAATAGCATTACGAAAGTAGCGCATATACTTTAAATGTATAATATAACGAGTCGTCGTCGCCATGCAAATCCAGAACTTATAATTAAGACTATACTATCGTCTTAAATCGCAAGGATATTATAGATCACAAATAATGACTATTCAGGAGCCAACAGACTAAAGCATGTTATGTTCCATGTTTAATAATTTTAGCCATTAGGCTTTAAGTAAACTGTAACTTTAAAAAAAAAATTGAATACACAAATTTGCAGTTTTAAACAAAAAACTGAGGCTAATTACACACATAAGAGTATTGCTTAATGATTTACAACATGAAACATTTGTACCTCTTATTTATGTGTTCTAAAATTAATTGTCATTGAAATATCTTCTACAGTATAACTATAGATAATAATAAAAGTAAGAAAACACCCCTGCACCTCACTATAGTTTCAATGTAACATTCTGAGTCGCTTATTGTCGCAAACCCCTGTCTCACCTCCTTTAGTAAAATGGGGTGACGTACACCTCAGGTAAAAATATACTAAATATTTACATTTTATTCTCAAAATATCTATTATATAAATTTATATTTTTAATAAGCAAAAAATTAATATGTACGATGTTAATATTTACACATTCATACATACTGTTTATAAACCATAATATTGTAAGCCATCACGAACAATATTTTTAATTTAATACATTTTATTGTAAAACTATAAAAATATTTTAAGTTCTTATTCATTAATTACATGCTTAATAAACATAATTAAATGTATTTACCGTGTTTTCCTTCAAACAAGCAATTGTCATAATGGGCAAATCTGAAACACTTTCTAACTCTTTTGTTTTAGTGGTCATTAATTTCTTAGCTGGGGATTCTAATTTTCCATCAGATAATTTTCTTTTTGTAGTTTTAGACAAAGAGAGTCCTAAACTCTTTTTTGGTCCAATAGATTTTTTTCCTTTAGAAGAACTTGACTCATCAATTGTTAGCTTTCCTTCACTTTCAGAATTTAACTCTCCATTTTTTTCAGTTTCGGTGTTAGTTTCTGATTCATTTATAATTGTATCGTTTTCTGTACTCTGATCAATGCTAGATGATGCTTGGAAAGCTTGCACAGTATCTTCAGTAATTACCGAACATTCAGTATCATTCTCAATTTGCATAAGAGCTTCAGAAAAGTGCTTGCGCTTATTTGGCTTTCCTAACTTAGACTTGTTTTCTTCATATGGAAATAGTTCATCAGACTTACATACGGCGCGCTCACCAGTACCATAGAAATAAACATGATACCGTTGACGGGAAGGAGTGTCTGCTTCAACTCCAGAAATAACAGCCGGCCAAGCAGGATAACCACGAACTTTTGCAAAGACTTTGTCTTTGATACTATAAACTTTTTTTGAAGACATTGAGTTATTTTGTACCTATGGAAATAAAGTAACTATAAAATCTGCTATACATATGTTATTGCATTAGACAAAAAATAATAATATACTGGATACTAAATTTACAGACAAATACGCATTATACTAAATTAGCCATATAGAAAGTTACAATATAATAGTTGCAAATACTGATACCATAAAAGTAACCACAAACTAAGATATGATCAACTAAGTCAATGCATGTACTATGTTTCCCCGAACAAATTTACATTAATTACTCCCTAACATAGGTTATAGGAATTATTCTTTCATTTAGTTTGAAATTGAAAAAAAATAGAAATTATCCATTTAGATTTAAGATAATTTACAAAATGAAAAAATTAATCAATAAAAATAATAAGTTAATGCCGCGTTTTTTTCGTTACCTCAGCAGTCCTTTGAATAGAAATGGCGGCAACCGTTTACGATGTACGACACATTCAACAAACAAAGGTTAATCATCTATAAAACCGCTACGTGCCGTATTATACTTACAGAATATTCTTAATCTGAAGTATAGCGTTAAACTTCCGGTCACAATTGTAAAAAAATTCAGAAACGCACCTAAATCACCAATTACTTTCAAGTTTCAACAAAATACAATTTATTTTATGAATTTGCAAACTTGAAACACATAAATATTAAACAAACCGACGGCGGCATATTGAAGTTAGGAATGCGTATCAGCGTATCAGATAATTACTATCATTGGTTCTCAAGATGTACTACTTTTTTTAATAACCAGGGATCACATATATTAATGCCTTTTATACATGTTAACCTAGATAGCTGACGGTAAGCGGTCATAGGTTCCCAAGCCATCCTATAGTATTCTTCAATTGGTATAACTTGGTTATAACCTGGTAAAAATGAAAGGTCCACGAATGGTAGAGTAGAGCGGGACCGTCATAACCATAGTGGTAAACTGTTATCATTTGGGAACCTATGACCCAATGCCATAATGACTACGGACTACGCTTTAAACTTATAGACATTTGTAGGTTGGCCAATGTTTATATTATGTTACGAATTCAATACTTAATTATAATATATCACTATTTAAGATAACTGGATAGTCAACGACGTATGTTCCATTCTGTGGTATGATAAACCACTGTTATATCGGGACCAGAATTGGATTTGGAATGTGCAAACATACTACATACAATAAACTAAATTACTAACTATATGCCACCAATAGAGAAGATTGAAGCAGCCACTTTCCGCCATTTCGGTGGGAATTAGAACCTTATCACGCGAGAATAATATATGGTTATAACAATATCATAAATACATATATATATATATATAATATCGATATAATTATATATACAGATATATATTATATGCATTGATAACACACATAAATCCCACCAGAATGGCGGACCGTCGGCTTCAATTCTTATCGCTAGTTAGCAACACGATTTAAGATAATATGGTTGCTCAACGGTCTATGTTAAGCCCATTGTCACATTGACCGCGAAACTGTCTATAATATGGCCGACATGGACAAAAGTACAACAGCGCTCCTAACCGTAAAAGTTGCAGTCCAAAATAATGATAACCCGAATACCCGCCAAAATATAAATATTTATATAATGAAGTTGTTTTTTTAGATGAGCCCACGATTTAAGATAAATAATAATACTTAAAATCGTGAACTGTACTTTATTACTAATTACGTATATATAATATACACAACGTATAGTTAATTTATAAATATTAACACTTAACATTATATATCATTATGACGTGTTGTGTACCGATGTGTTTGTCAAAAAGGACAAAAAGTACTTTTAGTGTACCCTAAGATAATAATCTTTTAAAAATTTGGGAAGAAAATTTAGGGGTAAATTTAAAAAGAAACTCTAGAGTTTGCGAGTTACATTTTAAGTCCGACAGTAAAACTACACAATGGGTATCAGGACAAGGCTTTAGTAAATACACTGTGCGTTACTGAAATTTCAATATAATTAATAAATTAATTACAAAATTTCACTAGTTATTTAAGTATTTACTAATTGCACTTATTTTTAGGTTTGTTTAAAAAAACCTAGGTTAAAAATAGGAGTTTTACCAACAAAAGCCAACTTGGATTGCAGTGCTTTGGCTAATCCTTTAGTCATGCCTCCAACAAAAAAAATTAAGGTTTCAATCAATAATATACATTTTTAGTGTAACTACAGAATAAATAATTGTAGCCTGCAATATTATGTCTATTAGATTATAAATGATACTGATATTATTGGACATGATCACTGCTATTTCTCTAAGGAGATAAATGACTTAAAATTGGACACATTTTTTGAACAAGTTTTAAAATACAACAAGTCAATGAAAGTTCCAATAGGATGGTTTGTAGATGTATAAAGTGATTACTCTAATCAACTGTGTGTTTGTTTTCATAAACTCGGTCCCTTTAAAAAAGACTATACAAGATACATAGAAAAACAACTTGTTTTAACTAGAGGTAAAATAACAATTATATAATCTCCCAAACATGTATTCTTCTTTTTGGCTATAATTTATGTAAATATTTTATCATACTAACTAGTTATAGGTATAATATAAAATAATTTTTTTAATATTATTTAAACTTTAAAGATTTAGCCATAGTTCTTCAAATGAATGGAAAAACTATTACAATATCAGACATTGATATAGAGTCTAATTTTAAACTTAAGTCCATTGAAGAACTAGAAGATATAATACAATTATTTGACAAAATTAAAGTCTATCAAGGAATAGATTTAGATCGTAAATATAGTTCTATAAAATCAAAATTTGGACCACAATTCATTAATTATTTTGACCAGTGGAGACATGTAAAATGCATAAGTGTACTAAAAGCAAATATGAGGTAGGTATAATTCATAACCATAAATATTGAGGGTTCCAATAAAGCAAATCATGCATTGGTCTTAATGTGGCAAAGTCTAGCAGAAAATGTAGACCAGCCTATTGCTGTATTTGCCTCACATGGAACAGTCAAAGGTTAACTATTTATCTAATCTGTATGCTAAATTTAAAATTAAGTTAATAAACTAAATCAATTTTTCTCATTTTCAAAAGAATGCTTTTGAAAAAAAAGTTATTGGTTGTAGAACTACTGAATACTTGGCTACAAGAAAAAGTTTCTATAAATGCTGAAATAGTATTGTATTTTTTTTTTATGAAGGTGTTGATTTAGCGAAGCTTATACTAAAAGCTATAATGTTAATAGAGGATTCTGGAGGGCAAGTTATTGGTCTTACGTGTGACGGTGCTTCTACGAATAGGACAATGTTGAACCAATTAGGGGTATTATAAAATTAACATTTATATAATGCTATGTATTATATTTTTAATATCACTTTTTATTACTTTTATTTAAAACCATTAGATAAGTGTCAAATCAGTATTAGTATTTACACCAAGGTGGATTTATAAATCCACGATGATAATAATTATTTTAAATCGTGATTGTTATACAGGTTGTAGGCGTCAATAAAAAAAAAGCTAAATATTCTTAAAAGTGGTAATGCTGGTTTTGTGGTTTGTCCGCTAAAAGCGCTAGGAGTGATTTGCACATAGCAATTCTCAGCGAAGACAGTTTGGCGGTCACATTATCAGGGCTCGTTGGGCAACTATATTATCTTAAATCGTGGTTAGCAATCAAGTTTATTATATATATTATATACACCTGTGTGTGCATAAGGCACCTAGCGCCATCTATCATACTAGAAGCGATTTACTCTAGTAAATCATAATAATGAAATATAACCGGTAAATTCATGGCAAAATAACATTTTGTTGTTTTGTCATGAATCAATTTAGCACCACTATTGGAATTTGGAATTATGTATTAGTTTTATAGATGATCCGCTTATAGCACTTAATGATTTTTGCCAAAGGCGTAGAGGTTTTGGGATAGTATATCTTATTATTATTGGCCGTTGACACGATGTAAAGCAGATATCTTATCTACACCGTGGCTGTAGGTTATACTCCATGGCGGGAGTCTTATTACATGTTAAATAAAAACTTGAAAACCAAATAATATTTAGAACACTTAATAATTTAATTTAAAATTATCAGTACAAATATGTAAAAGATAATTAAGTCGAAAATCAATATAACGATTCTTTATTGGTAAATTACAACCATAATTCTGTTTTAGGATGGCCAAAACTAATAAGTCACTTTTGGGGATATCACATACAGATATATTGTTTTAAAATGGGTATTACAAAGTGGGAAAAAAATAAATATTGTAAGACTGGGTGATTTTATTATTAAACTATATTTAATAATATGGAAGTTAATACATAAGAATACTTTTTGCTAAAAATCTTAAATTGTATTTTACCGAAAGTTGGAAAAATGGACATACCAGCTTCTGTCATCAGCCAAGGCCGTCGTTAGGGGTAGGCAGTCGATCAATTGCCTAGGGCCTCGCGCTTGTAGGACAGCTGTTGTAGGGGCATCGTGGCTAGCACGGCCGTTGACTAACATAGGACCTCGCAATTTAGAAATTGCCAATGGCCACACATACTGTAAAAACGAGCCTTTAATTCCACACAACTATTTTTCAGAATAAATTAATCAAATAATAATATCTATGATACCTAATATTTAAAAAAAAATTATCATACAATTATAAATATTATAAGGGGGCACGGTGTGGCGCAGTGGACACCTCAACTGTCACGCGGCACCTGAATTTAAGCTGTGTCCGTTGGTGTCTGGTGCTTGATCCCAGATAGGCGACTACCCGGGATTTTAAGCGGCGACCCATGCTCTACACCTACATAAAACAAACTCAAAAACTAACTAGGACATCTACCAACAGCTAATGGGCAAAGTCACCGAAGTTAAAAAAATATATATTATAGTTTATTTTTATAAAGAGTATTTCAGTTGTTAATTGTTATCATCTAGGATTGGATAATTGTCCTGCCATATTTTGAGGTAGTGCAGTTTCCCAGGGTATGTCACCTACTCAGAGGTCTTATAATAATAATAAAATAATTTACCTTTCTAGCGACTGAATTTCAGTCTCAATCTTTTTTTTTTAAGGAGTAAATAAGTATGTGTTATTTAAAAAAAACTTTACAATTATAAAGCTATATAAAAAAATATATACATATTATTATAATTTGTGTTATAAATGGAAATATACTATTAATCTAATATGTTATTGCAATAACTTTTAATTAATATATTGTGTATGTTTTAAAGCTAGGTTAAGAATAAAATATTAAAATAAATAATAATAAAAATCTTTTTTTTTATACTACAAATATTTGTATAAAATGGTTCATATGTAACTAAGGTATCTAGGTATACCGTAAACCTATTTATAGGTACATAGTATATACTATATTTAATTTGAATAATTCTTAATATTTTTCTATCTCTGTAAATATACCTAAGGAAAGGGCATTAATGAAAAGGGAAAGGAAAGGGTATACTCGTACCTATTATAGAACAGAGTACTAAGGTTTTTCCGACGTTGAAAATCTTTTATCAGGGCTATCTTTCACACAATAACAATTTATTATATATTATTATGAACCTATTAATTTACCATAGAAAAGTATTACATTACAAATACATACTATATAAGTATATGCATGTTTCAAATAGGTTTTAACTTTTAAATGAGAAATATAGTGCAATGCAATGAGTATAGAAGTATATTC